AGTTCGTACTGGAATACTGAGACCTGCCCTCTATCCCAGCCCAGCATCCCGAGGACTTGCCTGCTCTTCCCATGAGCTCTCTCATATTCGAATTCACTCATGCCATTCGTTTACCTCTGCTAGAATGACAACTCCACGCTTTGTGTCTTTTGCTTCCCAAGAGCCCAGAACAGTGCCTGAAGCCTAGTTAAGCATCATCAATGTGCAAAAATAAAAGAATTTACTTCAACATTATGTCCAGCTGCACTGTGCTTCTCAAGTTCCCCTACTGAATAGCTCTCTGAGAAGACAATTCCGCTGTACTCTCATTCCGAAAAAGGTGGGGAGAGACAGGAAGCAAGAATGGAAAGGGACAAATTCCAATTGTTGAGAAATGTGATCTTTTCAATAATTCAGCAGAACCTAAGTCTATGGAAAATTCTGCCCACTTACAACCAGAAGCCCACTGAGGCACCAATGCAACCGTGTGCTAAAACAGTTATTTTGTGCCACTGAAAGGCTACTTGAGCATTCAAAGTTTCCATCAGGCAAGAGGAAGATGAGGAGGGAGAGCTGACAAGGGAAGAGTTAATGTGCAGTGCTCAGCACTCATGAAAACCTACAGAGAAACCAATACTGCCTGTCCCTAGCTCAGAATCAGTGCCCATCCCTGGGCACTTCCCTTCCATCACTGCCTTCTTATTCTTGCTCTGAGTTTCAAACCTGTAAGGTGGTCATCAACCTCATGACGAAAGAGAGCCAGGAAGGTTGGAGGCAAAGACCAGGCACACAAAGATGAGAGAAATGGCTTTTATGGAGTCTTTTACTCCACTCAGACCAAATTCTCATTTTTTTTTTTTTTTTTTGCCAGAATTTAGGATTGATATATTATATATAACACTAAGTGTAAGATGCGTTTTAGATCAGCTGCTGATGGCAGTTTTTTAATTTTAGAAGAAATTGCAGCTACTGAATTATCCTACTTAATCTCAATTTAAACAGATAAATCTAAAAAATAAAATCCAGGGAGAAGACAGAAACTACAATTTGTTACAATGACTTACTAGAGAAATGAACAAAAACACAGAAATTGCTTATGCTGCTAGATGTGAAAAGCAATGCTCCAACATCTGCCTTAAACTTCCTAAAATCATCAAGAAATCCAACCATTCAGAAGTTCAGTGAAGCCACCCAGCCAGAGACCGGCTGCATCAGGCCCCACAAGAGACAAGGGAGACAGTCTCCCCACAAGGGAGACAGTCCAGGCTGTCCCAGAGTCACATAGTCGCTCACATTTGGAAAGGTAATTCCTGATTTCTGAAAGTGGGAAAACTACCTGACAATGATCCCAATATTTTCTAGATTCCACAAATGGGGCTTTTAAAATGGCATGCTAATCAATTCTGTGATGTGGGTTTCTAAGGTCAAAACGGGGCCGTAAAAGGTCACTGACAACCATTCAGGAGGCAAAGAAAATCCTAATTCCTAAGGGAGAACTTCTAAGATATTGACTAAAAATGAAGCTTGCTTTGGAGGGAGACTGAGATAAACTCTCTGCTTCTGTGTCATCAAGGGGCCCAGTCAAAAACTTGTGCTTCCTCTTCCAACTACAAAACTGCAAATCTACACAATTTTTAGTCATGTCGTATTTTAGGCAAAATCATTTCACTCAGTATTGATTTAGCATCTTTTTTCTGCTGCAAAATTGGGAATGTTCAAAATAAATTCAATTCAAAATTTTAATGGCAAAGTAATGCCTTCCAGTGTCGTGGAATTTAAAAGCCCTTGCTGACAGCTGCTGTACCCACGGGAGGAGATGCAGAGTAATACTGCAAATGAAGTCCAAAATACCCCTCATACCAATTTCATTTTATTCAGTAATTTCATTCTTGCTTTCAAGTCCCAGAGAATACAGAAAGCAGGTGTCTGCCTCACTAATCATAGCCCAGGGTTTAATAATTCAATGTTGGGCCTCCTTAGAAAAAGTCTCTAAGGGAAACACTTAATGTAGCGTATGGCAAGCTTTCCCTAATGAGCAATTCAGCACAAGTTTTGCAAGATCCTGGGAGATAAAAGGACACACTCTGGAGAATTGTGAATCTGACTGGAGATCACTGACTTCCTCTGAACTTCCTGCCTGCCGGCATCCATTGAGGAAGGGTATCAATCCCAATTTTAAACAGGCCAAGGAAGAAATCTCAGTATCTTTCTTGGAAATTTTCTCCTTCACACAGTACATATACAGCACTTGGCACAGTGGCTGGCACTCAATCGGGCGAGGTATAAAAATGGGTATTCAGCCTAAATTTTTCTGGAAAATGCCCTTCTACTGGCAAGATGAAGGCAATCGCCACACAGCCCGAATACCTCATGGATTCATCCTTGGTTTCTCTTCCTTCAGGGTCCTTTTGTCCAGTTCTTTAAAGCCAATTAATAAAAGTAGTCTAGTCACACAAAACTATGACATAGGCAGTCAGTCTTAAACTTGATATTGTGGATGATCAGAAATAAAAATAACACAAGTTATAACCACTGCATCAATTTTGGTCATTTATTAGTGTTCAATTAGTTTTTTTGCAGGTTGGTGGCTATTTTACAGGTTTAAAAGTTATCCACATCACTTCTTGGCCTTTCGGCTAAGATCAAGTGTGAAAAGTGATCAGCAAGGTAATGTAAATTATTTCCTCAACGCCGTATTGTAGTAGATCTTTGCGTTATCTGAGGTTTCAGTGCTTTTTCACATGTAACTTTTGGAAATCTGTTCAAGAGATTTCCAGAAAGAGTTCTTGGTCAAGCATTGGTTGAAACAGGATGATAACGGCTGTACTTTTAACCTCTACCACACTCGGTTTTTAAAACAACGTCTCCCATCACACAGCAATGCTGAAGTAATTATCTAAACTTTCCCACACTGTTCTCGGACACCCTGGTTAGTGTCCTGTGAGTTATGGGTTATGAGACAAAGAAAAGCAAACAGGTCCTGTAGGCAGAATTGAAACCTGAATATGCTAATATTTATTGCACAGTTCCAGCAAACAGCAGCTCTCATCCTTCTGACTTCACAAACCAATAAAAAAATTTTATCTTTAGAGAACTCAGGATTACAAACTTTTTTTATTTTACCAAATAAGAACATACCGTAGAGAAAAGGACATGAAGGTTTAAGGAACAATTTAAGGTTGAAAAAAAATTGGTGAAGTCCCCATCCTGTCCTTTTCTTTCCTATTTTGCCACAGGCTGGCACCCGCCCTCCACCGGTCATTCAGGAAATGAATGGGGGCTCCTGGTGCTCAAGTCCCCTTGAGCTTGGCTCCAGGTCTGCAGGACACACCGGCCCTCACCACTGCTGAGTCAAGATGGGGGTCTCCCCTCACTCCCTTCCCCCCTCATTTCTACTGACTCACTCCCACTGGTGACTGGGTAGAAAAGTTGCAGAACATTGATTTAGATCATCATATTTATATGATCTTCTTCATTTCCTTTCCTTTAACTCACATGGATTTTTTAAAACAAAATTTACTTACTAAAACTCCTTCATAGTACAAAGCTATTTTATTTGGACAAAGTTGGTTCCAGGCACAGAAAAGCTTGATATTCACTTCCAGTCGCCCCAACCTCAAGCACTTGGTAATTACAGTCAAAAGATCAGAAACTCTCACTGGAGAAATACATGGACCCTGTTTACAATATTTTTATATGTGGAACACAAACATATACAAGCAGCTTCTGAGAATACTTGTACATTACATGAAAAGCAAAAATAGTATCATGCTTTAAAATGTTTCTCAAAAAATAATTTCAAACGACCAGGTTTTAAATAATTAGGCCACTTAATTTTTATTAGAGCAAGTGTCAGAAAATGATTGTAGACTATATCCTTTTACACAAAGCACATTTGTAGGATTTCTAAAAGGCAATATACATAAAAGAAAAATTTTAGAATAATATCCTGTTTTCAATATGTCAGGGTAATTTGCTAATATGTTTTAAGGGTTCTGTTAGTTTTTAGTTTTTTAAAGTAATACATACCTGGATAGTCAATGAGGGTTCAATGCAGGTTCATGTGGGACCGCAAATTTGGCCTATTTTTTGATGAATCTTGCTTTCAAAATCTTATTATGACATGACCACTTTCTCTGTACATGATAGGTTTTACTGGCATCTGGGGGTCATACACGGGTCTCTTCAACTACCTCCTTAACTCAGAACTCCAGAAGACAGCGAGCTCCAGAGAGGCCAGTATCGGGTCTTCCCATGCCTGAGGCACACTGAGGTCCATTCCTGGCCTCAAGGGAATATGGTGGTTGGAGGGAAGAGTGAACACCAACACCCAGCAGAGGACCTGGCATGGAGAGATGTCCAGTGGAGACAACTGTCATCCACACAACTAAAAGGTTACCTTTAAGATACAATGCTGGCTGGGTGCAGTGGCTCATGCCTGTAATCCCAGCACTTTGGGAGGCTGAGGTGGGCGGATCACTTGAGGTCAGGAGTTCAAGACCAGCCTGGCCAACATGGTGAAACCCTATCTCTACTAAACAAACAAAGAAAATTAGCTGGGCATGGTGGCAGGCACCTGTAGTTCCAGCTACTCAGGAGGCTGAGGCAGGAGAATCACTTGAACCCAGGAGGTGGAGGTTGCAGTGAGCTGAGATCGCGCCACTGTACTCCAGCCTGGGTGACAGAGTGAGACTCTGTCTCAAAAAAAAAAAAAAAAAGAAAAAGAAAAAGATACGATGCTGCAAAATGTTTACAGGCAAACCTTAGACAACCCAGATCCTTAAGCCCATATCCACATCTACTCTATTTCCCCCCAAGAACCTGCAGGAAGGGAGACAGAAATGAAGGGCAGCAAGTGGACTCTTTACAGTGAGGCAACTGAAAACCTCTCATCCCCAGAGCAAAACATGACAATGGGAGGGAATACGATGGAACAAACTGTGATGCTTCTATCTTGACTTATGACAAAAGGGCTAAAATTGGGCAACATTTCAAAGGGCTAGAAAGGAACTATACTATGATTACTTGGCAAAGAAAAGCAACATGGATAAACAGGATTCCAATTTTTTTTTTTTTTTTTAATAAGAGATAGGGTCTTACTCCATCACCTGGGATGAAGTGCAATGGCATGATCATAGCTCCCTGCAGCCTCAAACACCTGTGCTCAAGCGATCCTCCAGCCTCAGCCTCCCAAACAGCTGGGACTACAAGTACGCACCACCACGCCCAGCTAATTTTTTAATTTCTTGTAGAGACAGGGTCTTGCTATGTTGACCAGGCTAGTCTTGAACTCCTGGTCTTGGGCAGTCCTCCTGCCCTGGCCTCCCAAAGTGCTAGGATTACAGGCGTGAGCCACCACACCCAGCCCTAATCAATTTTAGACTCCTTTGTGCTCGACATTATCCCCACATTTGTATCAACCAGCAGGGAGTAGTAGTGAGGACAGAGAATGCAGATGTGGGCATGGATCCACTCAGGTTCCTCTTGCAGGGGCACTCTCTCTGTAGATGTGAAACAGTGAGGCACACGTTGTAAAAGCCCAAACACAATACTTCAAAAGCATGCACAGAAACCCCTTCACATCTGAATACATGACGTTAACTTTCAGGCCAAGTGGACTGACTTGGCTCCCCTCCTGCTGCTGGGTTCATCCGCAACAGACAGCAATGTTTGCGAGGTGAGAGTTCTATTTTTCTTACATAAAAGGTCTGTTTTACAAGGTTATTTTATCTGGTTACCAGTCCAATGCATAAAAGACAGTGGTATCCTGTCTCATGTACAAAGAGCCATGCGCCTGGGATGCCTCCCAAATGTGCGGCGGCACCCTCTGATGGTGCTCTTCCATCTCTCCACTTGTCCCAACATTAGAGTTTCTTCAGGCTGCTTCATTCTTCCATGATGTGCCTCTCAGTGAGGCTGTATTTTGCAGGAAAGTTCCAGCGAACGATGTAGCAGGTGGAGAATCCCAGATCCCAAAACAGAGATTGGAACCATGCAAAGAGACCCTTGTGTTGAAACATGTTTCCAATCAGATAACCGGGTGCATCTGTTCTGTTAAATGTCCACTACACTTATAAACAAATTAACCAAATTCAGAAATAACCATACAATTGTAAAATCTGAAAGGAATAAGGAAGGAATTATCTGTGAAACTTGCCCATTTTCCTGAAAATGTGCTGCAGATTTAAGTGTTATGAAACAAAAGAATCCTAAATTTCCAGTCACTGCTATAATTTGAAGTACACGTTACGCCGTAAATCTGATACCCCAAGACATAAGAAAAAGTCACACTTAGGGAGAAAACCTTCATAACTGTTAGAAATGTTAGAAGAAATATGTTCATTTTAAAAACAGGACAATAGTACTCAACTTACGAAATAAACCCACTAAGCCAGCAGGAGGCATCACCTAGGAGGACTGTGGCTCAGCACGCCTTAGTGCCTTGGACTCTATTTCTATCACCTGTGCTTCTGGGGCAGCCCTTTGCAGAGAGTTTCTGTCCATTTCATTAGGAAGCTCTTGCCGTGTGGCTCAGTTCTATGCTTGGAAAGGCAGTGAGCAACCTTCAAGACCTGACACTCCATTCCAAGGCGACAGAGAATCAATCACGGATAGGCGCGAGAACAGAGTCAGATCGCCAGCCAAGGTAAAATGAAGACCATCTTCTGGATCGGGGCTTCCTGACACGTGACCAGGGCCAGTCCCTACACCCACAGAAACCACACGAATATGTATGTCTGTGCAGTCTTCCCAGGAAAAGGATCCATAGATTTCTTCAGATTTTCCAAAGAGTTTGTCTGAAACTTCCAAAATAAAAAGAACCATTGTTTTATGCTCATTTTCTCTGGGTGTTCCTATGTATTTAGTGCACCTGAACTCATAAGGATGTGTTCATCCCTGGGTAAAGAGTAAGATTTCTGAATTCTCAGTGATACGCTGGGCTGTGAAGTGCAGTGAGCCAGAAGGTGCAGATTCCTCAAGTGACACATATGGAAACACTCTTCTAGTACAACTGAGGCCAACACAAAATCAGAATAAAAGTGTAAGGTTTTATTTGGAACCTTATTTCCCTATGTCTAGATCTGTTCTATTTCTACGAAGTTTCTAGGAAGCAAGCATCAAACCCTGACGGTATTCATGCCATCATCTCCACTACGTTCAGTTGTCTACATTATTTTCTAAAGTTATCCAACAGGGAGAGAAGACCTTTATTAATAATATTTCCCTAATATCTAATATACTTATTTTTAGCTAAGTTAATCTTTGAGCCACATATCCATTCAGAACATACCAGAACAAAATCAAACTCACTGTTAGGAAATGTATCAATACTTCCAAAGATCACATGCCACTACTCTTAACACACTACAGCCCGCTAGTGAGCTACGCAACATCAGAACCCCTACAGCTCCAGGCCCTGCATGCACCATCTCATCCACCCCAGGAAAGTCACTTCCTTCCCTGAGAGCACTTTAAGTGAGCTCTGGGCGAGTTTATCCCCCAATCCCACCACCATTTTTATTCTTAGGCTCTGAAGTTTTTCCCTCTTGAGTCTCTTTCATTTGTACTCACAGTTTTCAGAATCTAAGATGGTCTTTAAAATATTCATTCCAGTAGGGACCAAGTTTTCTCCTGCCTGGTTAATTCCTTCTGGGTGTATCAAATGCCTGGGTCCAGTCAATATTGTGGCTAGAATTGGCTAAAAGGAAACACCTCTACTGACGAAAGTATCACAGAATAAAAGTTTCTAAAAGTCTGTTGTAATGAGAAAGCGGCTTAACAGGCAATAGAGGTTCAGATTAAAATTTAACGTGACTTTGAAAAACCTACTTAATGTGGGTTTTTTGTTTTTGTTTGTTTGTTTTGAGATGGAGTCTTACTCTGTCACCCAGGCTGGAGTGTAATGACACAATCTCGGCTCACTGCAGCCTCCACCTCCCGGGTTCAAGCAATTCTCCTGCCTCAGCCTCCTGAGTAGCTGGGATTACAGGTGCCCACCACCGCATTCGGCTAATTTTTGTATTTTTAGTAGAGACGGGGTTTTACCATGTTGGCCAGGCTGGTCTTGAACTCTTGACCTCAAGTGATCAGCCCGCCTTGGCCTCCCAAAGTGCTGGGATTACAGGTGTGAGCCACTGCGCCTGGCCTTAAAAAACCTACTTAATGTTTTCACTGTGCTTTCTATTAAATACATTATCAGCCAATTTCTCTTAAAATGAGCAAAGCAAAAAGGAGCCAGGGGTATTGAGGTAGACTATTCAGCTTCCAAAAGCCATCTAATAGAAATGTCATGAAAACTTCTGCTATACACTAGTTTCAGAAATATTGCATAATCCACCAACAATGAAACTTCCAATAAATGAATATATGAACATGCCACTGAGCTTCTACTCAGTCTCTATAGTTCCGTGCATTCTCTTCATCTTTTCCCCTTGATCCATTTCCAAGTTGCTCTGAATGTCGTCTTAACAATCAGTCTTCCCCTGTTTTGGTCAATTATTTGACCATCATATGTATCTGCCCCAGAATGCTTCTCAAGTCTCTTAATCCCAGGAACAGCTAAGAAAAAAAGATAACTGCTCAAGGACTTTCTGACTCTCCTATCAAATACAAATTTTCATTCATTCCAATGGTCGAGAACGCGTTAGTCTGCATTCTGAAAGCAGCCCACAGTTTTAAATAGCATGTTCAGGTACATGGAACACACTCAACTTTCCATTTTTTAAAGGATAAATAATCTTTCCTGGAGATTAAAGTTTCTTTCCTTCTCCTCCCTTTCATTCACACTGTCTACCTTTTGGCCACTAATTTTGCACTAACTCATTCACCCAATAATAGAAGGAAGTGGCGGCTGGAGGGCCAACTGAACAGCTTCTTCTCCCTCCTCATTGGCACTTCTGCCCTACATAATAACACCTCATTTTGAAAACTGGTAGCATTGTGCCACAAGTATATTTGGATATAATTTGGGTGGACTTTGTATATTCTAATACAGGACATTCCGAGACCGGTTCCAGATTGAAATTTCGTCATTACTGCCTTTAGGATTGTCACTTGATGATTTATTTCTTCCTGAAAAACAATTGCCTCTGATCTAAGTAACTTACACTGCAAGCAGATAGAAAAGACAAGAATAGGCATAGGAGGAATTACATAAACTGCCTGGGAAAACTGAGGTTCATAAGAACCCCAAAACCTTCAAAAGATAATTGTCTCCAAAGCATGACACTAATACTGACAGACATAATGTGAGACATGCATGTCAACCCAGAAGTACAAGATCATAATTATCTGTGATTATATATACTTTAATGAAATCTACTGATTCATCTAGTAAGTTACTAGGTATGCAAAAACAACATAATTTCCAGAGTTCCTAAATATTTCCAATATATTGAACTTAGGGATCCAAGATTCTGAACATGCCATCACCAAAAAAAATTGCAAACCTAAAAAACAAAAAGGAAACAAATTAAACAATGTCAAAGGAAAGACTTTCTTAGAAATGGTCAATATTTACTTTTATAATTTTCAAAACATTTTAAGTTAATACTTTTTATCATCTTACCATTATAAGCTCTTAAGTCTAATATTACAGTTTTATTTAAAAACAAGGCAGTTTTCATACAGCAAAATAAATATTACACAATACTCATACACACTACCTATTTAATTATGGAATATTTACTGGGTCAAAATATCTTCATATTTACAATCTGAGCCTTTAAAGTGGCATTAGTTCTGTCTTTATTTTCTTTTAAAAGTTGTCATCATGGTGACAGAAATTCAGATGCATAAATAAAATTATAGATTTTGTTCACCTTTAGAAACTCTTTTTTTAGTTGAGTAATAGTGGTTAAAGTCTTTGTGCTTCTATTACATTAACTTTTAGCACATGAACTAAGAAAGACGCTCTTCAAAGCTGTTCTAACCAAAAAGAGGTAGGTCTTTTTTGAAAAAGAAAAAAAAACTTTTTTGGCAAAAATTTCCAAAAATAAAAACATCAGTATTATTTATTATTAAAAATATTAATATACAAAAGTGAGCTGTATAAACAAAACTTTTGCTGTAGGCTTAAAGACCATGCTACTTAGACCAGTTTATTTAATTATTCCATAGAAAATCAAGAGTTCAGAGTTCATATTTCCAAAAGCATAAAACAACACATCAGGAGATATGGTAAAACAAAGAACCACTGAGTGCACACTGGTTTTTCTTTAAGAACAAGGCGAAGCTGGCCCGGGGAAGCAGAAATTCTTAACAGCCCACACACATAAAATCACTGCTCTCCCAGTCAACCTAACGGGGCCCAGATTTCCATGGCCAGCTTGTGAGTAATTTTTTCTTAGTGTATGTGAATAATTCTCCCTATCATTACAGAAAGCCACATACATGAAGAAAAAGAACACATTTTATAAATGTTAAATTACTCTCAACATCTGAGATTAAGCAGTAAGAAAATACTGTTTGCAGGGAAATTAAGTAACATAGAATAACATGACAACTGAGTCTCTAGAAGAGAAACATGAAAATAAAGATGACTTAAAAAAAATGATGATGTTTTCAGTTCCTCACAATTTGCCTTCTGTAACACCCTCCAGAATGAGATGAAATTTAATTTCCTCAGCATCTCATCAATTAAATGACTGCACAATTTAGGCTAAAGATAAGTAAATCTATGGTACTATATTTGTTATTAATGCTGTTACATGTAGTAAAAGAAATGAAGTAGCAAAAAGAACCACTTATTTGAAATAACAGCTTAGTGTGAATCTGAACTCCAAGTAAAAACCTTATTGGAATTCTATTTTTAGGAGAGTTAAACATAGTAACTGCCTTATAAGCACTGCTACCTCAACATATTTAAAAGGACATGGTCCATCAGAATACATTTCATAATTAAATAACACTCCCCTCCACCCAAAAAAGTTTTACTAAAATGTAAAAAGAAGCCATTGTATTATCTTCAACTATAAAATATATTTGAACATATAATCTTTCAAAGCTAACTGATACAACTAACATTCTCCATAGGCACTTCATATTTTAAAAAGTAAAATAAACACACACATATACATAAAACATTAAAATTCTTTAACATAGAAAAAAAAAAGTTGTGGCAAGAATCCTTACTTTCTAGTCTAAAAACCTGTAAGTCTGGATTCCCTTTTGTTTAAGAGCAAACCCTACTGTTTAAAAAAAATTATTTCAGTCTCTAATTCCTAATGGCTCAGGTTTTTTTCATATAATAAATACTTTGCTGTTGATTAGGTAGCTCACAAGAGCTCACTTTAAAAAGCCATGTTTAAACAGCTCTAAAAGGTTTAATTAGCATTGATGATGTAAGCCCTTTTGTAAAACATTTGAGCTAATTTAGGTAAGATATGTCAGTATGTTGTTTAATACCTTTGGTTTACAACTTTAAAATGTTTTTAATCTTGAAGAGGAAGGAACTGGGGCAGCACAGACACGGAAACACATGAAGGCCTCGCTCTCGCTGGCTTTGCCATTTACCATTCGGGCTGAAGTGGTTTCAGGACGAGGCGATCGCTCACCTTCTAGTCAGAAATCAGATGACCTCAAAACAACCTCATTTCAGGCTGAGGCCTCATGTCTTTCGCTTAGAGCTAAAAATAAAAATACATGTGAATGAACAAATGAGCATGGAATGAAATCTCTAACATGACACTAAAATATAGAATATTAGAAGCCATTTTTATCACAGAAAAATGAAAATGTACACATTTCTACACAGAGAATCACAATCCTATTTTGAATGGAGTGGTGCCCTTCTTATCCTGTTAGCCGCTGGGTATCATAACAATTGAAATCCAAGTTGGTTCTACAAAGCTAAAGTCATACTTGATTCATTTCCTGAGATTATAAAACATTTATTTATTTATTTATTTATTTATTTGAAACAGAGTCTCACTCTGTCACCCAGGCTAGAGTGCAGCAGTGTGGATCTCAGCTCACTGCAGCCTCTGCCTCCCAGGTTCAAGCGATTCTCCTGCCTCAGTCTCCCAAGTAGCTGAGATGACAGGCGCCCACCACCATGCCCGCTAATTATTTTATTTTTAGTAGAGATAGGGTTTCACCATGTTGGCTGGGCTGGTCTTGAACTCCTGACCTCAGGTGATCCACCTGCCTCGGCCTCCCAAAGTGCTGGGGTTACAGGTGTGAGCTACCGCACCCGGTCAAACATTTATTTTTTATAGAGTTAAATTTAACAATATTTCAATGAAGTCAGCCACTTAGATCATATATATATATATGTGTGTGTGCCAGCGCAAGAAAAGGCAGTGTAATGCTAAACCGTAACAATAGCCTGGCCCTCAGAAATATATTTTTGTGTATTCACAACTCTTGGTTCCAATAGCAGTATTCGTAGAACATGAAAATAAACCTGCTTCTCCAACCAAAATAAGGCACTCACTCATTCAGCAAATAGCAAATGTTTCTAAGCACTGGAATTAAGTGCTTGGTATGACAGAACAAGTTCTAAACCCATCAGCGAGTCTGGAGTCCTCAGCCATCTATTTCCTAATTTGGGGTCTCAAGTCTGTGCTATGATGCTAAGGAGATTCCACAAGAGGTAGGAGGGCAGTATGTATTAAGTGACAACAGAATGAGGCTGCAGAATTTGAAACCAAATCCACTGAGAACTCTGAATCTCTCTGCTGTCACTGTCAACGACCTCAACTCATCATGTGTCTGTCTCTTCAGTGTGAAGCTTATGTTTTCAAGATCCTACTTTAATCCTGGAAATTAATTCTCTCTCATTTGGAGAATGCTGGTAGTTTTGGTACCAAATATAATGCCTCAGGCTATTTTGAAAGGTTAAATCTGCCAAGTACCTTCAAAAACCACTTATTTTAAGAGTACTTCATTCCACTGAAGCCATAATTTACAATTCAGAAATTCTGCTGCTAAAGTTATACTTAAAGAATGGGCCCTAGCTATACTACAAAGAAGACAAATATGTTACAGAATGTTTTACACCATTCATCTATTCCCATTAAATATTATTCATAAATTATCACATACAGTCTACACTAACATTATTGTTCAATGTTTTGCATTTCTCTGCTGGTTCTACGTATACCAATGACATTTTTTAATTTTGTGGGAATGTGATACATTACCAAAAAAATCAAAATATATGCACCTGATTCAAATTAAGCTCCATGTTCATCTTAACCCATTGATGCCTAGTGTTCCATTACTGCAACACCAAGCTTGTGGAATTTATTTGTATCCTACTGCTTAAGGTCATCACCAAGGCCTGATTTTTCCCAAAAAAAATTGCAACCTCCAGCATAAATGGGTTAAAACCAGAAGAATAAATACACTTTTGAGTTGGCTTATGTTCCATAATTTTTCATGGAATCCAACTAAATTTAATATCTTGACAAATATTACCAAGTTAAATGTTTTGACTCTGAAGTTCATAGGCCTCAGAAAATACTTTAAAGTAATATACTGCAATTTACGCTTAAATACTTAGAATAAAGAAGACAAGAACTATAGGGAGTCATATCTGGGTTTTAAGCAAATCAATACGCTTTGAAAGTACATTTCCCACAGATGTTCGTAAGATGATTCTTAAATTTTAGATTTTGCTGCATTCAAATTTTACACATGGAAAACCATATGCTGGTCTTACGTGCAAGCAGCGAAACCCTTCCTCCTTTCCCGTGTATGTCAGACGGCCCTGTTCTTTTCAGTTCATAGGAAGCTTCAGAGAAAACATAACTAATTCATAGATACCCTTTTTCTACTCTAAGACTTAAACGTGCTCCTCTGTGTATCCCAAATTTGTCCTGTGTCAACACAGAGACCCTGTCGGCTACCCACAGCTCGACTCTTACTTGATTCTTTTCTTTGCCTTTCTTTTTTTTTTTTTTGAGACAGAGTCTCGTTCTGTCACCCAGGCTGAAGTGCACTGATGTAATCTCGGCTCACTGCAACCTCCGCCTCCTGGGTTCAAGCGATTTTCCTACCTCAGCCTCCTGAGTAGCTGGGATTACAGGGGCCCATCACCACATCTGGTTAATTTTTGTATTTTTAGTAGAGATGGGGTTTCTCCATGTTGGCCAGGCTGGTCTCGAACTCCTGACCTCAGGTGATCCTCCCGCCTCAGTCTCCCAAAGTGCTGGGATTACAGGCGTGAACCACCATACCCGGCCTATTTGCTATTATTCCTTGGCAAGAACTAAAAGCAGCTGAGTCTTCATTCGCCTCCCGAACTCAGATGTCCCCCTTACATCTCACAACCTCATCCATGCCACAGTCACAGCTGCCATTTCCCCCTTTTGGCTTCAACCACTTGATGTTCTGTAATACAGGTGACAGTTGACAACAACTGCAACACCGTCCTAATTCCACAACTTTCACTACTTCCACTTTAGGCCTTTGATGACAAAATAAGAAGACTGAATCCTCAGAGGTATGTTTCAGCTTACTAACTATATACTCAGTCTTAAGTTTTACTACTCATAAAACTCCATCCACCACTTCAGTAATATTATACTGTCTCCCATTGAAGAGGATTGATGAATTCTAGTGAGTTAGTTACGAATTTAGACTAATTACAGAGTCAAACTTCTATAAAAACAAACACTATTTATTTAAGAACATTCAACGTCAAAGATATTTTCATGAAAAACCGTCTCCTTAAACTGAATCTTTTTTGCAGAAAGGATTACGCCCCATGACACACTAGAGGTGAACCTGCAACCTGAACACTGTAGTCCCTCTTAGAAGTTTTCTTCCTGCTCCCAGCACTTGACAGATTCTAAGATTTCCTGTCTGACACATACGCCTCATCTCCTAATCCAGCAAAAACCAACAGTGTTCTTTATTTCTGTGGGAATCCCGCAACTTCACATATGCAGCTTGCACTCTAAACACAATACATTTATCAGTCAGAAAATCCCAAATTGAAGGATTCCACAGGAAGAAAACAGAATGTCTGAATGACAGCATGGAGACAGCGGCTGGCCATTTGGGAACCTTAAGGCTGCATCTCTATCTTCATTCCTTAAGTCAAAATAAATTCCAGAAATATCACATTTAAACTGAAAATGTGAAACCATAAAAAAATGTTCAAAGAAAATATGGCTGAAAATTTAAAAAAATACATTTTAAGGCACATGAAGAACTTTAATTATGACATAAACCCTAGGGGCCAAAAAAGAACACAACTGATTAAAAAGTGGCCAAAAAAACCCACTTATAAACAAACAACATAAACTGAAAAAAAAAAACTGTAGTATTAATATGGATAAAGTTCTTATAAATTCCCAAGAAAAAGAAAACCCCATGAAAACTTGTGCAACAATTACAGACAATTCATCAAGGAAAACAAGACCAATAAATACAGAAAAACACCTTCAAACCTACTCAAAAGCAATATAAATCCAAATGAGATGCTAACAGAGTGACAGGGATTACCAAGAGTGTGGGGGACCAGGCACCCAAACAGACCATTAGGAGAGGTATACACCAGCACTAGCTTTTTGAAGAACAATGACGTTATTTACCAAAATGTTAAAATATGCATGCTTTTGACCCAGAAATTTAACTTCTGGGACCAGATTCTTATTTCTTGTCACATGTAAGCAAAAATATTTGTACGAGGAGATTGCTTATAACTACAATACAGCAGTACTATTAATATATAAAAAATGAAAGAAAAAATCTGCAAAACAAGTCCAATGTCTGTCAAGGAAGCTGGTTTAAAAAACACATTACCTTTCATGTAGCCAGGGAAAAGTGTCCTAGATATATCATTAAGCGCATAAATGATTCTGCTGAACAGATCTACAATGCCATTCATTTCAAAAGTACTATTTCTTAAAACGAGTTTAAGAGACAAGAGTAAGAGGGAGGAGTAAAGGAACACAGGAGGGTTACCCAAGAGCCTGCTAGGCACAGGAAAATGGGAGAAAGAGCTTTTCGCTTGTCACTTTATCTGTCTACAGAATTTTTCTAACATGAACAATTACTCCTTTGGTAACAAAAATGTTTTTCAAGGATGCTCTGCTATTTCAGCATTTCAAAATTCTACGGATTGAATTTCTCAAAATGGAAAGAGTTGAGAGCCATGAGTCAGGTCTATCAGGAGTCACTTTGGGAATGCTGGAATTCATTTGTGGCCAGAAGCAGAGGTGCTGGGATAGCCCACTGGGTGGTGACTGCCAGTAGGCGTGAGCTCTGTGCTTCTCTCACACGGCCACTGCTTACCTCTCCAAGGCTCGCCTATCTGCACACTGTCTTGTAAAGTATACTTGCATGCAAAGTGCATATTCACTCCTGACTCCTATAAATGAGGGGCAGGCCTCAAGGTCTGGTGTTTGCTCTTAAGGACTTAATGGGATATTCAATATTCAATAGCGCAGAGTGTGCCACAAAGTGAGGGATAATCAATTGTTTTTTCATCTCTTCCATCCCAGAGACAAGGCCAATCCAGGCGAACTGCTGTTGCCACAGACTCTTTCAGTGATCTTAAGACTCCAAACCCAGCTCCTTTGAAAATATGGTCTCGCCTTTTTATGGGACAACCACTATTACAGACAGAAGACATGAAACCGGTCAGGCAGTCCGGTAAAATGTCACTGAAGAT